GTGCTCCATGAGCCACACAGGAGAGTGCTCCATGAGCCACACAGGAGAGAGTGCTCCAAGAGCCAGACAGGAGAGAGTGCTCCAAGAGCCAGAAGTGAAACACAGGTAGAGGCTGTTCTCCGTATCCTAGAGCAAGAGCAGAGGCTGACAGCAGAGAGTTGGGTGGGGTGTGTGGAAGCATGGCTTCCACTCTTTTGGGGGTATCACTTCACAACCCGACAGCACATCCCACCAACCACTTCTAAGACCACCATTTCGCAGGTAAAAGCCAGGAGGACAGCATGTGACATCAGTCCCAGGGCCAGCGGAGTTGTGTGCAGCTACCCAGTTGTGAACTGACTGTCCCCCCACCTCCATCCCAGGATCAATGTTAAACTCTTCACATCCAAGACCTCAGCAGCAAAGCAGTGACATCACAGACTGAGAAGTGGGGTGTCTCCTACGTAACCAGAATCCTGTGAGACCATGGGGTGGAGTCCCCAGGAATGGACTGGTTGGTACTCTTGGGAGGGGCTGAAGGGACCAGAGTGCATTCTCCACTGTGTGAGGATGAGGCAGGCCAGGGGGCACCACCACACGAAGAATCAGTTGGCATCCAGTCTGGGACCTCCCAGCTGCCAGGGTGCATGTGTGGTGTTCAGGCCACCAGAGTCCACGGTGATGTTTCAGTAGCCCACACTAAGATCACAAGTTCTTCTCACCCCCAGGGGACTTGATCTCACACAGGTTCTCCACATGTCCAGAGTGTTTAGTCATCTACTGGCCACAGGGCCTGTCATGACAACGGTACAGCACAGGTCAGCAAAGGTAGTAATCAGTGCTTCAGAGGAAACAGATCAAACAAACAAACAAACAAACTAGAGGTTTCATAGTCTTAAATCTCAAGGATAACTAAATAAATAACTAAATGGCAGGGGTGGTGCATACCCTCAGGCGGATCTCTGAGTTCAAGACCAGCCTGGTCTACAGAGTGGGTTCCAGAACAGCTGGGACTACACAGAGAAACCCTGTATGGGGAGTGGGGGGACAGGAGGGAGACACCTATACCTACCCGCACCACAGATAGACAGACAGACAGACAGACAGACACACACATACACACAAAGTAATTAAAATGGTGCTGTAGGAAAGGTCACCCAGTAGACAGCATCTGAGCCAAGATTATATAAAAAAAGGAATAAACTGGCAGAAAAGTCAAGTCACTGCAACCAAGACTCACTTGAACCAACATCTGGTTCCCAGCAAGTGCCTAAGGGGTGGGGACAGAGATGAAGGCTGCAGTGTCCGAATAAGACACACAGGTCTCTGTCCTCAAAAAATTATGTTGAATAAGACGGCAAGGTGACACAGACAAGCAAACACACAAACAAGAAACGGTAGGTTAGTAATTACCACAAAGGCTAGTGGCCAGACGGTGGGTAGGATACTGGGGCACCCGGCATGGCCCGAGTCACAAACTATGGTCAGTTAGATCCAAAATGACCAAAAGCAGTTCAGTCACACAGACAACTCAGATGAGCCCTCTTTGCTTGAGCAAAGAATTACACATTTGGGAAGGCCTTTGGTGGAAATCTTGTCTAGACTGTCACCCTAGAACAGACTGTGAGACAAATAGGAAACAGACTGGCCGGGCTACAGCACCGGACCAGGCAACAGATCAGAGTGTCTTGCCCCTGAAGGCAGAAATAATTCAGGCAAATGAGTAAGTATGGGACATTGCAGAGCCAGAGTTTTAGGGAGTGACAGGAAGAAAGAAGAGTCTGTGTCATCAGTGATGACATCTCTTAGTGAGATGCTGAGGTGCAAAGCTGGCAGAGGAGAGACAAGAGTTCTGTTCCAGGTTGGGTGCAATGGAGACAATTAACAGAATTTGGAAGAGCCAGACAGGATTACAAGGTCAAATCTGGACAAGAGAGTAAGACCCTCCATTAAAAAAAAAGAGCGACCGTGCACAGCGTCACCATTCAAAAGACAGATGGACTGTGATACAGAAAACCAGAGAATGAACCCGTAAGAACAGTAAAACAGGATCAAAGGACGCATGGAAGCAGGGAGAGGAAGAAGGGTAGGTGACCTACAGAATGTAACTCAGTCAAGTGATGTTTCTAGGCAAACGCTGGGAACTGTGTCCTACTACAGTAGGGTTCCAGGACTCTAGAAATTCACAACCAGGACGAAAAAAGAAAAGAGAGGTTGAGAAATTAAAAAAAAAAAAAAATTCACCCAACCAAGTTGTGCTCAAAAAGGGAGCCTGTTGGGTCACCCAGGTGGACAGGCACAGAGAGAGCTTGGCCACTTCCTGGCCTAGCCATCTCTATCTCCTGCCCACCTGGCCATCACTAATCCTGGGACTGTGTGGAGCAGGGACCGTGTCAGAGGGGGATGCACAGGTCTGAGGACCCACTCTGCCTGGCCTACCAGCCAGATCCTGCACAGGAGAGGAGAGGTACAAAGACCAGCAGCCCGATGTCTCCCTTTGCTGCCTTTGATGCATAGGAGACAAGTGGGAAGAGTCAGAGGACAGGAGGATCACGCAATCAGAGGGAGGAGGACTAGACGGTTGAGGACGAGAAAGCTGGAGGGAGGACCAAAGGATCGGAGGGAGGACCAAAGGATCGGAGGGAGGAGTAGTGGATGATCCAAGGCCTGAAAGGAAGAGACTCAGGAAGCTCAGAGGGAGGACGGAATGGTTGCCCATCATGAGGACTACAAGGTGGAGGACTGGAGAGAGGAGCACCAGAGGACAGAGGATCAAGGAAGGGAGGAAGTGTGAGGACTTAGGATCAAGGAGGAGGGGTTGGAAAAAGACGGAGGGTGAGAGAGAAGAGGAGGGCGGAGGATGAGAGGGAGGGAGGCAGAGAATCCGAGGGAGGAGGAGTGGAGGATAGAGGGAACGAGGGAGGGGAAAGGAGAAGGGTAGAGGAGGACGACGCAGCGGAGAAGGGCTGAAGGAGGATTTCAGATCAGAGAGAGGAGGGCTGGGGAGGATGGAAAGAGGAAGGCTGGAGGCTAGAAAGGAAGAGGATTAAAGGAGAGAAGATGGGGAGGAAGACATAGTATTTGAGGGAGGAGGAGAAAGGATCGGAAGGACGGAGGTCCTGAGCGCAGTCGCTTACCTGCTTGAAGGTGCTGCTAAGGAAGTAAACCAGCGAGAGCCCGAAAACCAGGGCGAGCACCCAGCGCTTGCGCAGGAGCCGGCGCCACAGCAGAGCCGCAAGGTTCAGCATCCCGGCAGGGCGCAGGCGCAGAGACGACCCCGCGGCATGACCCCCAGTACGCTCCCAGCACTGCTTAACCTTCCCGCAGCAAGCGCGCCGGCCACGTGATCCGCCGCACGCCCCGCCCTACCCAGTGACGCCACCGCCAGGCCCCTCTATGCCTCTTTGCCATTGGCTCTGCCGGAAGCCACGGCCTTCCATTGGTTAAATACGGAGGCAGGGGCGGGCCATCTCGGACCAGAGGCAAGCCTCGCTGTGCCTGGGTCCTAGCGCCGACGTGATTCTCTGAGTCTGAACCGGCCGGAAGTCACGTGCCGCCCTGGCCACGCCGCTGATTGGCTGGGCTGGATTAGCAGAGACCGTGATTGCTGAAGTGTCTGGCAGGTAAATGAAGGCGATGCTCGTCCACCGCTACCCTGCGGCCCCCGCGAGCCAGGCCGCAGAGGCGCTTCCCTGTCCGGTCTGGGGATGCCGCTCGAGCCCAAGCATCCTGTAGGGAAGGTGTGGCCTCATAGGGAGGGCCAGGGTGTGTGGGACCGAGCCGGTCCATTCATTCATTCCGTAGCATCCTGTGTGCTCCAGGATTCGATATGAGACTAGTTGGACCGCCTGCTCGCCACACAATCACGGGCATGTAATAATTTATGACGTTTTGTCAAGCTTGTAGATGGAAACTTGGGGATACCGTGTCTTATTTTCCCCGAGGATAAGGCGTAGTGGGGCCACCCGGAGTATCAAGCCAGATTGCAAATTCTTGAGGCGTGTTATATGATGACGTTTCCTTTCTTTATGAAAATGGCAGAGTTGAGGGTGTAGCTCGGTGCTAGAGGGCTTGCCTGAATGTGAAGATGATACCAAGGAGTCGTTTCCCAGCTAATTTAACCTTGCAGAAAAGACAGGTGCCTTAGCTGGTGGCTTCCTAGGTTGGTGGTCCCCGAGAAGGCTGTGCAGAATTAAGAGACCCTTCTGCATCCAATTGGTTTGGCTTGGACTAAGAGATGGTTCTCTCTGTGTAGGGGAAATATGCCGGGAAATTGAGCCTGTTCATAGAAGCATATTCTTTATTTCTTTAAAGATTTTATTTTTATTTATTTTTTTAATCCTGTGAGTGTGGGTTTGCACATGGGCGTGCAGGTGCCCTCCGCGGCCAGTAGAGGGAGTCAGGTCACTTTGAGCTGGAGATACAGGTAGTTGTAAGCTGTCCTTGTGGGTGCTGGGAACTGGACTTAAGTCTTCTGCAGGAGCAGTAGCCACACCGAGCCTCTCTCTAAGCCCTGCCCCTTCTTTTTTGGTCTTTTATTGGTGTGGGAGGGTAGGACAAGGTTCCGGGATCTGGAGCTGGGGAGGCTCGAAATAATTTTATCTGTGCACAAATGTCGACCTTCCATCTCTGCAATGGCGAGGCGGAGGGGCAAACCAGATACAGGATCTCTCACGGATCATAGTCAACAATGTGTCAATGACTGGTTAAGTGCTGCCAGAAAAGCAGCCCAAACCCAACAGGAAACCCAAGAGAAGGCCTCTGGAAGGAGGTACCATTAGCATCAAAGGAAGTGGTGTGTAACCCTCAGCTGGAAAACCATTCTAGGGAATGAACAGCAGGTTCAAAGAACCGGAGGCAAAAACTCTTAACTTTAGAGTATCCGGAGGCAACTCACAGAATCAAGGTTGTAAACAGGCAGTGTGCCTTGGGCACAACATGGAGGCCTCCAACAACTCCGATGTTGATTCTGGTTTTACTTAGAAGCCAGTGGAAATTCTAAAATCACTTTTCTATAGTCCTCAGTGTGTGCCTGTGTTCATATATGCACACATAGACACACACATATGTGCATGTGTACCCACACATGCAGGTATGTATGGATGCTTGTGGTTGGGGGGGTGCAAGTGTCTGCGGAGGTCAGAGGTCACCCTCAGGCGTCATTCTGCCAGAACTGTCCACCTTATTTTTTAAGATAGGATGTCTCACTGGGACCTAGGGCTCCTCAGGTAGAAAGACTGGGCCAGGGAGTACTGGCAATCCTGGTTTTTGCCTCCCCAGTGCTGGGATTACACAGTGCAATGCAACACCATGCCTGGCTACTTACAGAGGTGCTGGGGAATCAAACTCAGGTCCTCATGCATGGGTGGTAAGCTCTTTATCAACAGAGCTATCTCTCCGACCCCCAGGATGCATAGTTTGCTAGTAGGACAAGCCTATTAATACCATAACCCACCGTCAGGACCTCAGAAGAAGATAGCTCAGAGGCTACCGGAACTACTAGGCTGTTACAATACCCAGTCACATCCGCCAGCTTGTTCTGTAACAAGTCATCCCAAGACCTGTTCATACAAGTGCTTTGTGTCACCCAAGGTCTGCTGTCTCCATTGAGTCTCCTGCCCTGCACTTCCGTCTGAAGAAGAAGAAGAGAAAGCCTGCTGTCTCTGGGACCCAGTGGCTACATCCCATCAGGAACCCTGAACGCCCACGGCACATTTCGTCAACATGGAGTTCTGAGGTCCATGTGGCTCCTTGCTGCACACCAGGTGACATGTCTCCATTGGGGATTTGCTTTGCCCCTTCACTTATGAAATGTTTGAGACGGAAGATGGAAGAAGCCTGGGTTCCATTGCTCCATTCTCTTCCAGGGAACAGATGGGGAGTGGGGAAGCCACAGAGAGGTTCCTCACTTGTCTGAGGTCACACAGCAAATTAAAGGGCACCCTGTGCCGCTCCCTGCACCCCATCTAGCACCTGTCTGCACCCCCTATTTGTTTTCTCCTTTTGCATAGGAAGCACCTCCACTCTGTCTCCTCAGTGTGAGATGGGGCGGTACCTCTCTCCCGTGGGATGTGACACCAAATTGAGGATTGTGTGGCAGAAATGATAGAAATGTAGTTAGGAACTGTCAGAGAGCCTCAGTCAATGTAAGAGTGATACTTATTTACAGTCTCCATGGCAACAGGCAAGGAAGGGGTGTGTCAGGAGGTGCAGCTCACACACATGTCGACTTTCAGGTGCTAAGGAAAATGCAGAGACGCCACAGCAGCAACACAGACAACATTCTCCCGGAAAGGTAAGAGTCTCCGCCCCCCCAATTTCCTCCCCTCTGGTGACCCTAGGCTTATCAATGTTACTTATTGCACATAAAACAGACCCAATAGAGAATTGCTCTGAAGTGTATTTGGCGTTTTCTCCTTCCTATGAGAACACACCCAAGGCCGCCGGCTTTATAAAGAGAAAAGGTTTATGTAGATCACACGCTTGGAGGCTGAGAGAGCCAATGGCGAGGCTGGCTCAGTGGCCATATTTCACCTCATCACCGTGGCGTGATTGGCAGTGGCGGTTGCATGTGTGGGTGAGCGTGATTTACTTCTCAAACACGGCGGAGAGGACCAGGTAGCCTCAGTGGATGAAGTGCTTGCCAGGCAAGCCGTGGGAAACAAAGTTTATATTCCTAGGGCCCATGTAAAAACTGGGTTGGCTTAGCAGTCACCTGTACCTGGGAGGCTGAGACACGGAAACCAGGGCAACTTACATGGCTAGACTAGCGGGAATCTGCTCGCTCTGGATTCAGCGAGAGACCCAGCCTCAAGAAACAGTGGAGAGCTGTGTTCTAGCAGAACATTGCTCCTCCACAGGCAGCACTTAAGGATCTAAAGACCGCCCACTAAGCTCCGCCTCTTAAAGGTGTACAGCACCTCCTAATAGCGCACCTCATGATTCCTGCCTTTACAGTACCTTAGGGAACATTCCCCTTAGACCTACACTAAGCAGGGAGCGCTACTGACACAGGGCAGCTGCTATCGTCTCAGGACAGTTGTCAAACCCTGTGAGACAGATCCACGCGGATCCGTGTGACTCAGACCCTTCCTGGCTGTTTTTCCATGTATAGAGACAGCCGGCCTCCTTGAGCTGCTGCAGACATCCCCACAGGGTCTGGCTTGCCTACTAGAGCGTCTTTGACCAATATGGAGGCTGGGAAGTTCAAGGTCAGGGAGCTGGCAGATCTGTGCCTGCTGAGAACTGGTCCCTGGTTCCTGGATGGCTGTCTGCTCGCTGTGTGAACTGATGAGTTTATTGGGGTCACTTTCACAAAAATGAGTTACATCACAAAAAAAAAAAGGCCAGCCCAGCAGGGGTGAGACTCACACTGGAATCCTCCCTTCAGAAAACTGTCTAGTTCTTCCTGAGGCTGTGGAGGTGCAAGAGGCAGGGGAGGGGGTGGGGTTTAAGGACCTCCCCCTTTCGTGTGTGCTCTCTCTCTCTCTCTCTCTCTCTCTCTCTCTCTCTCTCCACCCCCCTCCGTGTGTGTGTGTGTGTGTGTGTGTGTGTGTGTTTGTGTGTCCCAATCTTGTGAGGATTGCGTGCAGCTGTTGTGATTTCAGGACGGTAACAGTTACATTACTCCTAGAGGACCATTTTTTTGTGCACCGGTATCCAATCTCAGGCATCTATGTTGTCATAAACACAGATGTGGACAGATGCGCCAGCTGTGGTGCCTTTGGTGGGAAGCAGCACCTCCAGGTCTCTGTCTCTCCAGCTGTAGAGAGGTGACACAGATGACGTCAGAGTTGCTGATTGAACCGAGTATTCAGAGCCCAAACACATACATGCAGGGCCTGTCTTCCGGTTAGCAAGCCCGATGGAATCTTCTGAGCTGAGGCCGGCTTTGCTCTCAAGTGAACCCGGACATCTTTGGGGGCAGAAACAATGGCAGATAAGACACTGTCCACCATGCTCTGAGGGTACACTCCACGCCTCCCTAAGAGCATCCTGAAGATAAGAGACTGAAGTTCCCAGAGGGCAGGTCCATTAGCAAAGTCACACAGCCAGGAAGTAGCAGGGCTGAGATTTGACCTTTGCTCTGTTTGTTCCAATCAAACTTTGTGCTTTAATTTTTCATTGCATTATTTATTTATCGTTTTTAATTACATTATTTATAATTTAAAATTACATTATTTGTAATGTTTATTTATTTGTAATTTTAATTACATTTATTTATTTACCTTATGGTATTACAGGTGACTACTAAGACTATCCAGCCTTTTTTTTTTTTTTTTTTTTTTTTTTTTTGTTTTTCGAGACAGGGTTTCTCTGTGTAGCCCTGGCTGTCCTGGAACTCACTCTGTAGACCAAGGTGGCCTCAAACTCAGAAATCCACCTGCCTCTGCCTCCCATCTTATGTATATAACAAGTACATTGTAGCTGTCTTCAGACACACCTGAAGAGGGCATCGGATCCCATGACAGATGGTTGTGAGCCACCATGTGGGTGCTGGGAATTGAACTCAGGACCTTTGGAAGAGCAGTCAGTACTTTTAACCACTGAGCCATCTCTCTAGCCGGACTATCCAGTTTTTACATGTCAGCTGCCACTGCCAACCACACCACTAAGTGATGAAGTCAAATATGGCCACTGAGTCAGCCTTGCCATTGGCTCTTTCAGCCTCCAAAACTGTTGCTGTGTTTTATAAAGATAAAGAGAGAAGGAATATGTTTTGGTGGATGTGCCATCAGGTGTGGGGGATAGGGGGTGCTTCTGCAGGCCCATGCCAAGGCATCCCTTACCCCTGAGGGACTAGCCACACGATGGTATAGTATAGAGTTTATTCAGGGCATGGGGAGGGGAGTTGAGGGAGTAGAAACAGAGAAAGGCAGAGAGAGAGTAGAGGCTGACCATGAGCACTTGGAGAGAGAGGGAGGAGGGGAGTGGGGAGAGAGGACATGGGGCAAGAGGACAGAGCTAGAGCAAGAAGGCAAGAGAGAGAGGAGGACCCCAGCAACCCCTTTTATATTCAGTCAGGCACACCTGGCTGTTGCCAGGTAACTGTGCGGCGGAGCCTAGACAAAATACAACTGTGATCTACATAAACCTTTTCTCTTTATAAAACCGGCCGCCTTGGGTGTGTTCTTATAGTGATTGGAGTGCCTGTGTCATGGCGTGTGTGTGGATGTGTGTGTGTGTGTATGTGTGTGTGTGTGTGTAGGTCAGCGTCAGTTCTTTCTTTCCACCCCGTAAGTCCCAGGTATCAAGCTCAGTTTGTCACCCTTGTCTGCGGACACCCACCGATTCCCATGGATGCATCTCATTGGCTCTTTCAGACGCATAGTTTGCCTTCTGAGATCCAAGTGGATCCATTCCCCTGGGCTGTGAGAGCCGTTTCTCTTAAGTGGTTAAGTTGGAAGTGCATAGCCTCCAACGCCCTAAGGAATAGTCTTTCCCATTTAGGCTACAGTCCCAGCTGGATACAGGAGAGGGGCTGAGAGGAGGGAGGCCAACTGAAAAAAAAAAAGCCCTTGGTGGTTTGAGCCCTTTCCTTATTTATACTGAAGTTCCCTGGAGCCTCAGGAACTCAAGTAAGCTCAGGGGTTGGGGGAGGCTTTCCAGAGTCCCCTGGGGCTATGGGGTCATCCACACAGGCCTGGGCACCTGGCAGGACATGTGCTTTCTGAGCCAAGCTCTTGAAATGCAGAGAAAGCTCGGTCCCTCCAGAGACATATAGCTATGGTGTCTGTTATTGTTGCCGGCACTAATATCATCAGTATTTTTATCCAGAGCCCAAGGGAGGAGGACCACACAATTCCCAGGCTTCGGAGCCACCAGGGAGGGGGCCCAGAGGGGAGAGTAATGAGGCAGCCAGCTTCAAGCCATGCCAGGGTTGAATGATGTACCATGAAGCCCAGTTTGTGAAGGAAACAACCTCGAGGTTTCTCTCCACACCAACCTTTGCCCTCAGTGTCCGGTACAGCAGTAGTAGGCTTTCCACAGTAAAAAACAATTCCATCATCAAGTGAGTTTTGTAAATACCAGGCTCAATGAAGTGCTTTAAACAACTCCATTTATCTGTGTGTGTTGGGTTACCTGCAGGAGTCGGTTCTCTCCTTTCACCATGTAGGTCCCAGGATTTGAACCGAGGCTTTGCAGCTAGCACTTCCACCCACCAATCCACACAGCTGGCCCCTAAAAGCTACTCTTTTAATTATTGGCCAGACTAATCCCTCATTCCTCCGAACAACATTGGTTGGGCATGCTGTGTGCAAGATGCATTGTGCTTTCTGGAGAGGTACAAAGGGAGTAGTTAATCAAGGTTGTCCCTGTCGCTGCATGCTCACATCTCCAGAGGGTTTGTCAAAGCAGAGGGCCCAACCCCAAAGATTTGGATACATGGTTCTGGAGCACCTGCACTTTTGCTTGGTTCCACACAGTAACCACAGCACAAAACTAGGACTGAGGGCCGTGAGTCTCCAGAGAAAGGTGGGCAATAAACTGACCACTGAGATCAGCCCCCTGCAGGCAGGTGCTGGCTTTAGTGAGAGGTGGCCACTGTCTTCCCATCAAGGAGGACATGTGTCAGCCGACATCTGATGGAGAAATGCAGGTAACCTAGATGGGGCAGGGGAGGGCTGGGGGACAGCCTAGTGCCCACGGCAGCCTGATGCAGGAGGCCCTGGAGAGGTGAGAACTTCACTGAGAGACTGCGGTGTGGGGTGCTCATCTGACACCTCACTTTCTATCTGTGAAATAGGAATGTGCTTGGCATCTGTCTCTAGAACTTAGCAGAGTCGTCTAGAAATATAAGCTGGGAGCCCTCAGAGAGCTTTTAGTGTGCTGGTGAAATACCAGCTATACCTATATTATTTTATTAATTGAATTAATGATGAACTAGTAACCAAGCAACTATATCTATATAATTAGAAGAGCCTGGATGGCACAAGGTCAAGGCCAAAAGCAGCTTTTATGGGGAGTGCCTAAGAGAGTGAGCCCAGTGCTGGGTTGTGGCTCAGTGATAGAACATTTGTCTTGCACTCAGAAAGCTCTGGGTTCAATCCCCGGCACTGTATAAACCGGATGTGGTGGCGCACACTTGTAATCCTAGCATTTGGATGGTGGAGGCAGGAGAATTGGGAGTTCAAGGCCTGCCTCAGCTACATAGCAAGTTTGAGGCCAGCTCGGAGATAGATGAGACCCTGCCTCAAAAATAAAGAAATAAATGTAGACTGTAGAGTTGGTCCACCTGGGACCAAACCTCGGTTCTTATTCCTCACCAGCAATTCACCGGTGACCAAGTGTGTGCCTCTGTTGGTTTATCTGTGAAATGGGGATATTATGTATACCTAATATAGGCTGGTAGGAGGATTTCATGAATCATTCAGAAACACACAGGACCCTGAGTCTTACCATGAGCAACAATCCCCAGCCTTCTTCCCACTTTCCCAAGACAGGGTAAGTTGCCTAGGCTGGTCTTGAAGTTAGGTTCCTCTCAGCCCCTATTCTGGGATCACAAGCCTATTGGAGCTTGTGCCACTGGTGGCTTCACACACAGACTTGCTTTCTCGTGGTGCTGGAGGCTGCAAGGGGCAGGGTCCACTTTCTAGGGTCTCTCTTCTCCACCTGCTGTGTCTGACCCAGAGACATCTGGCATTCATAATTGGGATCTACTATTTAAGACCCTCCCCTAAATAGGGTGACACTCTGAGGTCTGGGGGCCTAGGACTGTACCCAGCATTTTGAGGAGAGACAGTTGCATCAGTCATATTGTTGGTGCTTGGTGCCCACCATACCGTGAGGGTGCTAATTTTCTGTCTCATGTCTGTTGATCTGCGTTTCTGTTGCAAAACCACTACAGGCTGGGTAATGTTATAAAGAAAGAAGGTTTGTCTCACAGTTCCGGATGTTTGTGATGCTTCTGATTGTGGGTTTTTCCTGGTTTCCTCCCTCTTCCCATAAAGCACTGAGGATTCAATCCTGTGGATATACCTGATGTCCTCTGAGTGTGCAGAGCCTCTCTTTTCTCTAGACACCATAGTGGACTTACGTCTGCCCCCCCCCCCCAGAACAGAGACTGATCTGCAGTGTGAGTTTGAGGCCCGTTCTGATGCGAGCTTTGCCTGTCATCTTGTCTCGCAGAAGTCGCAGCCAGGCGCTCAGCCCTGAGGCCAGCGTGGATGAGGGTGGTGTATTTGAGAGCTTGAAGGCAGAGACGGCCTCCCCTCCTGCGCTCTTCTCAGGCCTGGCAGGTGGCCTGCCTGCCAGCCCCTTCCCAGCAGGCCTGGTGCTGGGGTCCACCGCGGGTGGCGGGGATGTCTTCATCCCTATGCCAGCTACCAGGGATGAGGCCGGAGGCCGCAGCCCCGAAGGAAGCACCTACCACCACCGCCAGGCCCACCACCACTTCCACCACGGCGCCCACCGCGGGGGCTCCCTGCTGCAGCACGTGGGTGGGGACCACCGTGGGCACTCGGAGGAAGGGGTCGACGAGCAGCCCGGAACCCCGGCACCCGCACTGTCTGAGCTGAAGGCTGTGATCTGCTGGCTTCAGAAAGGACTGCCCTTTATCCTCATCCTGCTGGCCAAACTGTGCTTCCAACACAAGCTGGGTGAGTCAAAGGGCCCTCAGCTCCAGGGAAGGACTGCGCATGCCCAGAGCCAGGATCAGCCAGTACAGGAATCACGGTGCTCTGTTCGTGAGTGCAGGGTGCTTTGGATCAGCCCTGGGTTCAGATTTCTAGCTTAATTCTATAACTTTGAACAAGTGGCCTGGCCTCTCTGACCCTCGGTTTTCTCCTCTGTTCAGTGGGGTTGAAATAGAAATTTCTTTAGCTGGTCTGTTGGTAGGAAGGAAAGAGCAGAGCGGCAGGCTTCGAGGAGCACAGCTCCGGCCTTTCCTAGCTGCATGACACTGGGTGTTTTATTTAGCTCTCTGCCTTGGCTCTGACTGTCTTTCAAATAGGGGTTAAATACAAACAGCTGTTTCTCCCAATCCCCAATTCTGCATCTGTAGATTCGGCCAACTACCCACGGGACATTCAAGGAAGAGATGGGGGTGGATCAAGGCGGTAAATGGCCTGCCCGTAGGCATGGGGACTTCTGTTAATCACGAGTACCAATGTGAACAGCTGGGCACACACCTGGCATCCCAGTGTTGGAGAGGCAGAGACAGAATTCCTGCAGTTCACTACCCAGGTTCAGTGAGCGACCCTGACTCAAAAGCTAAGGTGGGGTGTGATGGAGGACATCTGGTGTCGATGTGTGAGTCTCAGGTGCATGTGCACACATGTGCACATGTGTATACATGTGAACACAACAGTCGGGAAGAAGGGAGCATCTACTGAACTCGCCCTGCTAACTATCCATCCACCATTCGTGGCACAGTGTAAGACATTTCCGTCACAGTAAGGTGACTATTTTGGGGAGTCACGATGAAGAAGCTTTGAGGTCATGTCTCTGTGAGTGTGCGGTTACCATTGTGTTCTTTACTGCCACATGTTCAAATCACCAGAGCCCTTGGCGCCAAACCTGATGACCTGAGTCCAGTCCTCTGGACCCATGTAGCAGGAGAGAACCCACTCCTTCAGATTGTCTTCTGATCACTCCTTGAGTACCATCTCACACTCACACACACACACACACTCACACACACACACACACACACACACACACACTGACAGAGCCTGGCACATAGCAGGTACTCGGCATGACCGGGCCTCATATAGTACTTACCCAAGTACCTAGCACACACTCGTGACTTCCTGGTGTTCTCTGCAGCGTGGATGGCGCCGCTCTGCCCTGAAGTATTTACAGACTTCCACCCAGTTACTTCTTCCCATACAAGACAACCTTGAGGGCCAGTGAGGCGGCTCAGTGCAGGATAGTGCTTGCCGTGCAAGCCCGTTTACTGAGTTCTATCCCCAGCACCCATGGTCCTGGGGAAGAAGATGGCTGCTGGAGGTTGTCCCGACCTCCTTACACTCACCATGGCACGTGTAGCCACATGCTCGGGGACTCAGACACAATAATAAATAAATAAATTAATAAGTAAATAAATAATACATACCCCCAAAAAGAGAATCTCAAGATGAGAACGTCTTTTCTTATTTCCCCTCTCTGGGGAGTTCCAGCCAACTTTATCACCCCCTTCCTAGTTGCAGCCCCCCATGTCACTACCCTTCCCTTCTGTCGCTAGGTGTGGAAGCCAGCATGTCCTTAAGTCTCACTCTGAGTTCTGCCAAACTTCTGTCTAAGGGTTTTTTTGGTTTGTGTGTGTGTGTGTGTGTGTGTGTGTGTGTGTGTTTTGAGACAAGGTCTCATTTGTAGCCTTGCCTGTCAGTATAAGTTTGTAGCTGAGCCTCACTTTGAACTTGCAGCAATCCTCCTGCCTCCACCTCCTTACTAGCTAGAATGATGGGCACGTGCCGCTATGCCTGGCCCTTGCAGCTAAGTTGTCCTTGAGTGTCCTTATTTGTTTTTCCGTTATTTATCAGTTTGTTTGAGATAGTGTCTTCCTCAGCAGACATCAAATTTGGTGTCCTCCTGCCTCGGGTTCCTTGGTGTGTGGGAGGGTCACAGGTCTGACAGGTGTGTACCGCCACCATGCCCAGCTTCAGTGTGCTATGTGGTTGTTTTTAATTTACATTTGTCTACTTAATGTGTGTATGTGTGCACAAACATATGTACCGTGGCACCGATGTGGAGGTCAGAGGACATTTTTCAAGAGTCGGTTCTGTCCTTCATCGTGAGTCCTGGGGATTGAACTCAGGCTGTCAGGCTTGGCTGCAAGTCCCTTTACCAGCTAAGCCAGCACACCATTCTTGTTATTTAATCCAAAACAGAAAGGACTAGGGTTACCATTCTCACACTTTTCTTACAAAGAGAAACACTAATGTGCAGTTGATCTAGAAGAGTCTAGAACAAAACATTGCAACGCTAGCCGCTTCTCAGTCCTGTCTGAAGTAACAGCAGGATTGGAAGTCATTCCACAGGAACAGGCCTAGGCTGCATATTGGCAGACGTTGGTGATTAAATGACTTGTGGACCCTCTGCCCCGCCCTCTGCCCGACAGCCGAGATTTCCATCTTCTCCCTTAGCGTTGTTTCTCCCTGTCATCTCCTGTGTCTGTATCACAAATAACTCCAGGTTCATTTTAGAGTAAACAGAGTAATATTCAGAGTCACTGCTGGAGGCGACAGCCTGTGTGCCCTGCCCCACTGTGAGGTAGCTGCTATTAGCTGTCTGTCCATTACACAGATGAGGGGACTGGGGCTTAGAGAGGGGCAGCAACTTGCCTGCAGTCACACAGCAGAAGTAACAAAGCTGGAATTTGGACTATGATCTGGCCATACCACACAGCTCTCTCTGACCGTGCTAAGCTTTCCCCAGATGAGGGCTCAGCAGCCTTGCTGCCGAGCCTGCTCTCCTAGCCCCTGGAAGCTGGCCTTCCTCCCCTCAGTTCTTCTCTTGCCAACTCCGGAAACATGGTGGATTTTTTCCCCCAGCGTTTATCAGGGTCTCAGGCTAGGCTGGGGGGGTCTGAGTGGGTGGAAGCCAGCATGTCGACCATGTCAGCCTGCTGTCCCCACAGGCATTGCTGTCTGCATTGGGATGGCCAGCACCTTCGCCTACGCAAACTCCACCCTGCGGGAGCAGGTGTCCTTGAAGGTGAGTCCTCTGCGGCTGTGAGAGTGATTTCCTGTGTCATAGCTCTGCAGACTTGAGATCTGACAAAGGTATGTCAGGGTCACAGCAGCCAACAAGGCGGAAGGAGAGCAGGGACCTCCAGCCAGCCTTGTCCTCTGACCTCCACTCAAACACTGTGACGTGTGTGCACACCTGCAGCTACGAACACACGCACATCTTTCTCTCTCACACATACAGACAATTAAAAAAAAAATTTCCACTCACCTTCAGGCCCACAGTAGGTGCCTTGGAGCTGTTGGCTGCAGGTGTTTCTCCAGATCGCTCCCTGACTTCCGAGCCCTTGAGTCACTGTCTCACCTGTATGGCAGTAGCTGAACAACAAACAGTCCACTGTCCCTGACTAGAGCTGGGTTCAGTGGCTACATCTTTAATCCCAGGACTCAGGAGGGTGAACTGGGAAGATCTGAAGGCCAGGAGGTCCAGGCCTGCTCCCAGCCAGCCCAGAGGGATGACACAAGTTGCTGCATGTGTGGGGCTGTCCAGCAGGCTGGGTGAGCTCCAGGTATTACCACTGATTACTTACGACTTAGATGTGTTCATCATCGCCCGGTCTGAAGTCAAGGCATGCTACCAACTCAGACCCAGCAGGCGATTAACTGAGATGGAGCTCAGAAGGGGTTGAACATGGCGCCCAGTCTACTGGGAGACATGAATTTGAACTGTTTTACAAAACTGCTTTCTGCAGAGCAGGTGTGTGTACACACTAATCCACCCCCGAGGTGGATGCGGCTGTGGACCCCATGTGTGGTGAGAATTCTGGAATTTTGGTTTCTTTTGGAAAGACAGAAATATTATAAGAATGTGTTTTCGTTTTTAATCCCTGGTGTAGGTAGACGGGGCCACTTTGCAGCAGCTGACTGTGATTTGCCTGGTGCTCTAGCAGAGGCGTGATTTCGTCAGCTGCAAATAGGTTCTGTGATTGTGTGATGCTTGGAATTCTGGGAACTTTTTAAAGGGTACATAAATGCTAGGGCCCTGCTAAGTAGGATCAGTGCTTGTTGGTCATTCAGGGGGGTTGGTTGGAGTTTGTTGGTAGTCATGCTCAAAGAAGAAACAAGAAGAAATTAGATTCATACCTCCCTCTCTCTTTCTTTCTCTCTCTCCTTCCCTCCCTCCTCCTCTATCCTTCTTTCTCTCCTATCTAGTGATAGGGGGTGAAACAGGGGTGTGGGGATAAAGGGTGAGAAAAAGAACCCACAAAATAGCAAAGACAGGCTACACCCATTCCAGTAGCATGTCCAGGATTGGGCAGCTCCCAGAGGGGATGGAGCCAATGGGAGTGTGTCAAATGCAGGCTGACGGGATACAGCCAGCCCATGTCACTCCTGAGTCTGTGCTCTGAATGGCAGCTCTGGTCTGTGTAGATGATTTTCTAAGCAGGCGTCTTCCTCCTCCCTGTCACCTGTGACTAGTCCTTGAGTCCCAGAGAGAGGGAAAGACACCAGAACCTTCCCTCACCTTCTGCTTGCTTCAAGACTATGAAGTTTCCACACACCCCAAACATTCTAGAATGTTCCACCACAAGCACCATTGGCTTCACAGCACCCCCCATTTTCTCTGCAGGAGAAGAGATCAGTTCTGGTCATCTTGTGGATTCTGGCCTTCCTGGCAGGAAACACACTGTACGTCCTTCATACCTTCAGCTCCCAACAGCTCTACAGCAGGTGAGAGGGGCCCTCTGGGGGATTGGGGTACATAGTTGAATGCCATTACATGAACAAGGGTGCCAGCCTCAGGCCCTGATTAAACTCGGATTGCACCTGCACGCACACACACACACACACACACACACACACACTCACACTCACACTCACAGAACACCAGTGGATATGCAACTTTGCATGAAGATGAGGAAGACCATGTGGAATTAATTTTAGTGATAATTTTATTGAACCCTGAGCCTTCCATAGCTGTGCATTCCAGAAATGCAGATACAAAGTACTCAGGAAACAGGTCTGGACTGAACCCACGAAGGCTCTCTCCAGGCTATTCCTCCTTGAACCATACAGCAACTATTTGCATGACATTTACATAATATTTACATAGCATTTGATATTTAGAGTCTGGTAAAGACTGGCTGGTGAAGGTATGTGAGGTTATTTGTGACTCACAGGCCAGAGACTTTGTCTTCAGGTGTCTTTGGGACGCCCTGGGACAAATCCTTCCTGGGTGCCAAGGGATGACTGTGTATTTCAATACTCGAGAAACTGAGGCAGGATTTCAAGTTGGAAGCTAGGATGGGCCACATGAAACCTTGTATCAAAGAAGGAGAGATGGAGGGAAGTGGCGGGGGTAGAGACAGAATGATGTCAGCGGGGGGAGGGGTTGCTGGCTTATTTAATGGGTTCTGGGGTTTTGCGGGAAGTTATGGATGAGGGTGGGAGGAGTTATGGATGGGGGTGGGAGGAGTTATGGATGGGGTGGGAGGAGTTATTAATGGCAGTGAGAGCTGTCCACAGAGGGAATGTGTTTATGTTAAACGACTAAGGGCGGGGATTTTTCCATGACTTGTGCTGTACCACACTGAGAAAAGAATACATGTGTCCCAACACCCCTTCCTGAGCGGAGGGGAATGCTTTAACCTCAGCGGTTTAAGGATAAAGAGCGGTACTGTGGGCAGAATGAGTATCTTAGAACAAGTGTCTGGGAGTCTTAGGTTCAGAGAGTCTCATCAGAATGTTCTCACTGTGTGGGAATGGTCAGAAGGATTACTGTGGGTTGAAAGAAGGGTTGGACTCTGAACAGGGTGGAAACACAAGGTGGGCTCTTGGATTATGTTCCCTGTGAGAACAGGGGCTGCAGCAGTGGTGGGAGAGGGAGGCTTCAGAGCAGTCTTGGGAGTCAGTCAAAGCATGGCTCACACTCTACACTGGTCCAGTCGGTCGTCCAGAATGCTAAGGTCCTGCTGCAGGGCAGAGGAGGAGGTGAGGTTTCCCAGCAGTTGGGACCAGTTCCCGCTCATACTGTTTTCCAGACGCCATCTTGTTCCCAGCTGCAGACTCAGGGCCTCTTCAGACCAGGGCTGAGTCATGCTGGCAGCTCAGGAGTCTGGCAGAGAGGGCGACAGAAAAACCACAGGGCCGAGACCTTGTCTTTTCTGGTGCCACCAGTCTCCAGTTGTGAGTGGTTCCAGCAGCCGCTGCCTTATGCTTGGTGTTCTGCCCAAGTGGGGAAACACTTTTGTATTGCTGCCCCAAGAGCCACCGCCACCGCTGCCGCTGTCCCACCACTGCCACCACCAAAAGCTAAAGAGAAAAGCCATCGAGATGTAGGCACATACCTGTCATCCCCACATGAGGACACTTAAGCTGAAGAGTAGCATGGTGAACTCAAGGCCAACCTGGGGCACATAGGAAGACCATGTCTCAGTAGTGTGGTCTGCCTGAGGGTGGGGTCTCAGGAAAGGACGAGAGCCAGGAGTGAGGTCACTGCCTCAGACTTGTCCCTGGAGGCCACTGATGCTGCTAGAGTACAGGGCTTACCCCACACGCCTGCTGCCCTGTTAGGTCTCCTGGGCACGTAGAAAACATTTCCCTGTGTTTGCTGAGTTTCCCTGTGATGGAGGCTGTTGCACAGAGCCTCTAAGCCAGCGGGATGAGGAGAGAGGCCAGCGCCCTCCAGCCTGGCTCCGATCCTAGTGCCACAGTCTAGCTGAGGCACATGAGCAGGTGCCTCCCTGGGTCATGGTGTCCTCATTTGGAATGGCATAATCTTTGTACCTGCTTCATTCCCTCAGACCCTTAGGGAAGATAAAGTGAATTGAGCTGACTAGAGCAGGGTTGGAGCCACAGCGGGAGACAGGATGCTCTCCTGCTGTACAAATTATGAATGGGAAGCTGGAGAGCAGAGCCAGAGTGGGGGCCGTGGACTGGAACTAGTTTGGAAACCGCCTGTTGTTAAGTATAGCAACTGAGCATGAGATTAAAACAGAGTTCCAGACAGTGCATTGTGTTCACAGTGTGCCTGGCTGTGTGCAGGTGAGCCAGTCCAGTCCTGCACAGGAGAGTCCCAGACGGTGCATTGTGTTCACAGTGTGCCTGGCTGTGTGCAGGTGAGACGGTCCCGTCCTGTGCACGTGACGTGGGTTTACATCCTCCCTAATCATGGGTGCAGTGGGTTTGCCCCTCACAGGGTCCTATACAGGCAAATGGGATTGTAACCCCCCTGGTGTAGACAGGTGCAGTGGGCCTATGTCATGTCTGGTCATGCATAGGTGCCACACGGAGTGTGCAGCCTGGACTGAGTGACAGTGTCTCCTGCCACCAGGATGCCTGGCTGCACACCCACCTCTGTCTTTTGCCAGTTTCATGACTTAACCATGTTTCTTTACTTTCCTGTGCCTCTGGTTTCTTTTCTGTAAAATGGGAGTGGATGACAGAAACTCAGGGTCTGCAGTACATCCGTGATCTCAATCTGGCCTGTCAGTTAAGCTAGGGGAGAGGGAGTGAGCCCTGTTTTGCTGGTGACACTGAGTGGACTCAGCCAGCCTAGATGTGAATGCAAGTCTGTCTGGTTCTGACGCCCTTGTCTGCCTGGCTTGTGACCTTGAGCTTCAGCCCTCATCCCTGAAGTCGAGCTCAGCCATGCTCACTGCAGAGCCCCTTATGGTGGGATAGTTAGTGAGATACATGGAGTATGGACCTTAGCGCAGGACACAGGGTGCAGGACATAGGACATAGGGCACAGGGCACAAGACACAGGGCACAGGGTATAGGGCACAGGGCATAGGACACAGGGCACAGGACATAGGACACAGGGCATAGGGCACAGGGCATAGGACACAGGGCATAGGACACAGGGCACAGGGCATAGGACACAGGCATAGGACACAGGGCATAGGACACAGGGCATAGGGCACAAGGCACAAGACACAGGGCACAGGGCATAGGACACAGGGCATAGGGCACAAGGCACAAGACACAGGGCACAGGGCATAGGACACAGGGCATAGGACACAGCACAGGGCATAGGACACAGGGCATAGGGCACAGGGCACAGGGCTTCCCCTCTGTGCCCCTTGTATCCCTCCTTTCTATGAAGATTGGGTACATGAAACTGAAGGAGAGGGTGATAGGATGGTGGAGGGGGCTCTGTAGGCAAAAAACCAAGGACCTGTGTTTGATTCCCAGAACCCTAGCAATGAGGAAGTGAGGCAGGGGGATCCCTGGGACTCACTGGCCAGCCTGCCTAGCCTAATTGCTGAGTTCCAAGTCAGCGAGTGATGCTGTATCAACAAAAAGGAAAAGGAAAAAGGTGTTCCTCAGAACCTTCACATACAGGCACAGACTCATCTGCGCACACATATACACCTGCACACACGTGAATACATACAACACAAACTCAGATGGGGGGACCTTTATGATGCTCTAGCCCAGTACTGTCATCTAGTCCCCAAGGGAACTAGGCAGAGTTCAGAGAGGTTGAGAATTCCGTCTGAGGTCACATGCAGGTCAGTAGAAGATGGAGAAGCAGGCCACAGAAGGTTGTGTATTTTCTGTTGGTGACATTTGCAAGGTTCCTTAGTGAGGGGAGGCTGCCAACGTCCAGGGTCTAACTAAGTGAGTGACTTGGTTCTCTGAACGTCCCCAGCCTCATATTCCTGAAGCCCAACCTGGAGACACTGGACTTCTTTGACCTGCTGTGGATCGTGGGCATCGCCGACTTTGTGCTGAAGTATATCACCATCGCCCTCAAGTGCCTCATCGTGGCCCTGCCCAAGATTATCCTGGCCGTCAAGTCCAAGGTAAGCCTGCCTGCTGCCACCCACCACGATGTCCCCGCGTCTGCACCCCTCTGTTCGTTTTCCTTGTGGTTTTCCTCAGTAGAGCCTGTCCACCTGCCTGGGTCCTGCATCTCTCAGGGAAGGGTGACACTAACAGCTCTGTACATTCCAGGGACTGTTTTTGTAAAGGTGACTGAGGTTCTGCAGGAAAGGGCTCTGTGATCAATTAGTAATGCCTGCCATGGCAAAGGAGGGTGTGTGTGTGTGTGTGTGTGTGTGCGCGTGTGTGTGCAGTGTGCAGCAGGAGATGCTTTGGGATGAGGAGATCTTGAGGCATGACCTTTAGAACTCAGAGGACTGAGCCACTGCCACTCACTCCAAGGACAGTGGGTTGAACTGACCTTCAGCCTTGAGTGACAACTGACCCAAGCCACTAGAGGTTAATTTTTGAGCAGGTTCCTTCCTCTCCCCACTATGCACTGACTCAGTGAGCTCAAACCCTATGATGTAGAGGTTTTCTTGAATGAGGTCACATCTCTGTGCCCCAAATGTCCGTGTGTTCCTCAGGAGAGGAACCTCTGGGTATAAAAGAGCCCTGCAAATAACAAAAGCTCTCCAAGCTGCTCACCCGTCTACTGTTGGAAATCACGCCTTCCCTCAGAAGTGAGTGCTGGCCTTGTGGGAACGGTTGCTTTGGGAAGGAGAAAATGTTGTACCCGAGCCCGGTGCTCAGGGCACTACTCAAGGACTGCTTCACGGCACGGTATCATCGGCCTCTGTCTGAAACGCCCAGATCACAGTTTTCAGAGTTCATTTAGGCTATCTGCATATTCATAATGAGCATGTCGGAAAGTGTCTGTATGTGAACATGGAATTCACCTGCGTCTCACACACATGGTGGAGGTGGCATCGGACCATATTGTTGGCAACACCCGCTTTCCGTTGCACTGTGTCATGGGAGGTCAGGGTAGAATCTTCCCCTCGTGTGTGTCTTCATGTCTGAGCAAACAGTTGCAGATTCTCAGGCATTTGGGGTGCTATAGTCTTGGTTGGGGTGCTGCACCTGCACGGGTAAGACTTAATGTTCATGTCACCTGATCCAGAGCTTTTCCTGATGTCTGAGGTAGCAGAGTCCTGGCCAGGTGCCTGTTTCTCAGGCTTTGTGTGCTCGCTCTGTATTCCAGCACTGGGAAGCCCAGGGCTTTAGAAACTTCTACCTTCCTGTCTCCTCCAAGTTCTAACAGGTCTAATGTGTGAGAATTCAAGATGCATAGTATCCACCTCCCGGAGGTCATGCACCTTGACAAAGAATAGCTTACAGCCGTTAGCTGCTTGGACAAAGTAGGTCATTTCCTTCAGGAATACAGGCTCGGGCAGCCACATGTGTGCACAGAGCATTTCACCTTTGTGATCCTTTTGTGCTTACCCACAGCCAGCATGGAGCACAGCAGTGCAGGCTGGGGAGGAGCCCAAGCATGGAGCACAGCGGTGCAGGCTGGGGAGGAGCTAGGGCTGAAGCTAGCAGACACAGCTGTGCCCCTCCCTCCACTGGCTTGAGCACCTGTCACTACTGGAGCACCCTGGCTCTGCACAGTCTACAGGATCAGCCTGGGAGGCGGGAGAGGCAGAGTCCTACCAGACTTTGTGGTAGGCACTAAATGACTCTGAGAACAGACTGTCAATAGAGAGAGGTCTTTTTTTCTGCCCATTCTGGCTGCTATCAGGAGCAGCTGCTAAACTGTCCACCACCGGTAGGATCCTTGACATTTGCTGGTCATAAACTTGATCTTGCCATGGCCGTCACTCTCCTCTTGTATATGTAGATACTCTGGCACAGGGTGGTTCAGTGACTTGCCCAGGACCACAGTCAGACACTAAAGAGCAGACAGGACAGTAGGAAGTTACCCCTGAGTCAGAGTACTGTGGCTCTCTACTGTGGGTGGACAGAGGCACTGTGCACTGCGTCAGACAGTAGCTGGTGACACAAAGAGTGACAGAGGCAGGGGACCCTCCCACATTTGTAGTGATGCATTTGTGGGATCCACTCTCATGTGCCTTGTCCTTTGGGATTTTCCTGTTCTTGTCTCTGGGAAGAGAGTCTGGTCTATCAAGTTTATATTTTGAGTCTGGCTCTTTGTAGCTTAGGGGATGGCCAATGAGTGAGTTTCATGGTACACACACACGCACACACACACACGCCCCAATCCATTCAGCTACCAGCAAGGAAACCTGGACTTTGGCTACCTGCAGAAGGTTTTTCCCAGCATGAGTGTGGCCGAGGCAAACAACGATGTGCTGGTCTCCAGGAGTGCACAGGGAACCTTCTTCAAGCTTGGGTGTCGGGGCATCTTCTGGCTATTCTGGATCTCAGAACATGGCTGTTCATGAGCCCATGGCTTATGTTCTCAACCTGGGAATGGTCTTAAACAGTTTTCCTTGCTTCTTCCTGATGGAAGAAGCTGCTTCTGTCCACTTCGTACCTTATGTGACTCTGAAGTCCTACGATGGCATATATAGTGACTAGCACCCTACTGTCTGCTGCTGTACCCCAAACTTTGCTGCCATGAAACCCTGGGGCTCTTCCCTGTTTCTCCTCTCTAACCCCCTTGCTCTGCTCCTGCCTTTTCAGACAACCGGCGTGATGGTTCTGCTCATCACTCTCCTCTGCGCCCTACGGCTAAAACCCCGTTCCTAGCAGGGAATGAGCACATCTAGCATAGTTGTTGTTGGGCCAGAGCATCTCTTCGTGTCCAGAATCATGGGTGCATATGTGAGGGTGCGTGCGTGTGTGTGTGTGTGTGTGTGTGCACGCGTGTGAATGGGGAAACGGATGGATGAAGCGTATGAATGGGACAGTAACGGGTAAATTGTGCATGATACATGAATGTATGAATGAGGGGAGGGGAAGATGGACGTGTGGCTGGATTAATGAATGGATAAAGGGATGAAGGCATTGGCGGGAAGATGGATAGGAGGATGGACAGAAAGATGGACCAGTGGGTGAGTGGAGGGTGAATGAGTTGGATGGACAGGTGGATGAAAAGATAGACAGAAGGAAGGAAGGATAGGTGGGTGGATTTATAGCTGGACAGGAGGATGGATGGAAGGATGAATGAAGGGAGGATTGACCCGGCTGTCCCCTCCCTTCCTCCACTTAGGACAGCGAGAGCTGGGATCCCATCCTCAGGTCTGCTCTTTTTATTATATCTGTGCGGATGTCCAAGCAAGGCAGTCATGAAAGCAGAAATTCACAAAGTACTACTCTTCTCTATGCTCTGAAAGACCTAGGGACTCTGGGAGGACTCTGGAGACCCAGCTGACAGTCACGATGGCGGAGAATCACAGGCCGTCAGCAGGAGCCAGGCAGCATATCCTGCAGGTGGACTGTTCAGGAACTCTACAGAGACTGACAGGGATGGGCTGTGTTGAAGGCTCAGGGGACATCTCCAGCAAAAGGTAGACACACCCCTTCCATGTGGCATTTAGAGTCCCCCAGCACACCCTCCCCTTCAGTCTCACCAGCCTCACAGAGGACATGTTCTGACCACTCTTCACACAGACTGAGCTAAGTGATTTGGCCAAGGCTTCAGGCCTCGAGCTGATGACAGGCAGGAGAGGGGGTGTGGCTCAGCCCTCATGAGCAGGGTGCTCTCGGCAGCCCCCGCTCACAGCAGCCTCATAAGGCAAGGGCAGTTGTCTTGGACTTTTAGAATATTTTATTTGAGGTGAAATTCACATAAAATTATCCAGTAATCATGTAAAAGGGTGCCTTTGACTCATTTTGTACAATAACTGTGCATCCAGCAACCCTGTGTAGTTCCAGAACATTCCCATCACCCCAGAGGAAAGCCTGCTATTTATTAAGCAATAACCCCAGGCTCCTCCCACTCCAGGCTCCTCCCACCCAAGCCTCCTCCCACCAGCCCCAAGCATCCACTAATCTCCCTTCCGTGTATGGAGTGGATTTGCCTACTGTGTACAGTTCCTATCACAGAATCACATCATAGCTTTTAACCAACCGTATGTCTTCAGCTTCGTCAGCATTGTGCATGGGCCGGCACAGCTGCACACATCTGTAATCCCGGTGCTCAGGAGACAGAGGCAGGAGGATTGGAAGCTCAGGAAGCCTGGGAACGAAGTAAGACCTTACTCAGAAGGAAAAACAAACAAACCAGAGATTAGGAGATGCCCTAGTGCTGTTAGGAGACTTGCTGTGCAGGCAGGGAGTCCTGACTTTAACCCCCTGGACCACAGGCTAGCCAGGCATGGCTGAGGATAGCCAGGCATGGCTGTAGGTGCCCGTAACCCCAGCATTGCAGGGCACAGACAGGCAGATCCCCAGTGAGATTTCTGTTCAGTGAGAGACTCTGCCACAGGCAGTAAAGGGGAGAGCTCTAAGGGATAACTCCTGAGGTCCTTCTCTGCATTTTCTGGCAGAGTACCTTGCACACATGTGCATGTCCCCCGTCTGGTGCACACACATGCGAGTGCAAGAAAACACACCACCATCGCACTGGAGCGTGGCTCACCATTTTTTTCCATGACTGGTCCCCATCCCACAATGTGGACAGACCACCGTTCACTTAGCCCTTTGTCCTCCGAGGGACTTTAGGGTGCCTACCACCTGGCATGAGTAGTGCCAAAGGACTTTCTGTGTGCAGAAATGCAAACGTGGTAAATCTAGCTTCTTCGAGGTGTTTAGTGAGTCTTCTGAGCTAGCTAAGGGTCAGGTTTGTGGACACAAATCCCTGCTGTACTCACCAATCCAGGCTGGAGGGTCTGTCTTCTCTCTCCTTCAGACTGCACTCTGTGGGACCAGGGGGCGGGGGTGGGTGCCGACACCCCTTCCCCACGCCTCTGATGTGTGGGTGACAGTTATTAATGCCTCTCTGGCAAGCTTCCATCTCCTTCCTTGATGATTATTATTTTATTCTGAGAGATTAATGTGCCGGGTCAGAGCGTAATCCAGCCGGTAACAAGTGATGTGAATGGCCCTCCCAAGATAAATTGCAGGCTGGGAAAAGGTCCGCAGCCTCTCCTTGCCTGTCTGAGAGCTCTGGAGAGTCCTCATCAATCCTTGTCTGGGAGGAAGAAAGCCACGGGTGTTCCTCTGCAGCTGGGGTGGGGTGGGGGTGGGGGGAGACACATCTGTCAGGGACCCCTAATGGCCCTCAGCACAGATGCTCCTACACAGGCCTCCGTGCCAGCCACTGAGAGAGTGGGCTGGTGGACACTGCAATTATGATATTGGCGGCCTCTGGTATTTGGCCCCATTGGATGGCCTGAGTGAGCCACCTTGCCTGGGGACTTGGGGAGCGTCTTCATTTTCTTCCTCTTCTTAATCATCCCTCTGCTGTGACCGATTCCCGAATTCCCTCCTGTCTCCTAGTATGACAGGGTCTGTCAGGGACCCTCACAGAGGGGCCCCTTGGTGAGTCAGGATCCTTGGGATAAAGATGGCGGCCACTGATCTTCAAGGTCATCTCCAGATCGTCACCCTGGTCTGGCGTTCTGAGCCGACACTTGCTTTTGTTTGATTCTTAGAGTTAGTTTTCACTGTGTATCCTGGGCTGGCTTTGAATTCTTAATCCTCCTGCCTCAGTCTCTTGAGTGCTAGGATTCTGGGTGTAAACCACCACATCTGGCCCTGAGCTGCCATTTGTCAGGATAAACCCACATAATAGGCTAGGGGGCGTAACTTGGTAGAGCGCTTGCCCACAAACCAGTCAATTAATTATCCCTGTATAATATGCACAACGTCGTGGGCCTGCTAGATCTGGCTTCTACTCCACCTCTCTCCTCACCATGCTTCCTCCCTCTCTTCCTCCCTCTCTGCTTCCCACCAGGTAGACCAGCTTCCTTGGGGACTTTGCATTCTCCTTAAGCCCTTCACACTTCTTGTCCCCTCTGCCTGTGGCAGCCACCCACTGTTCCCATGACTGCTTCCTTCCCATGGTTTCTGCCTCAGCCTCCCTAGCCTGCCCTGCAACATCATGGGCTCGTCTTCCTCATACACAGTACATCAGACTGTTTTGTGTACTCCTGCTGTCTGCATCACCACCCGTGGGGTGTGAGCTCAGGTGCTCAGGGACCTCCGGTCTTAGTAGTTTCTGTGCCGAGCGAGCACTGTATAGTTGCTGTGAGTTGACAAGAAGACCCTTACCCTAACCGCCTGTCAGGGTTAAAGCTGGACCTGCCTCCCTTCCCCAGGGTCTTGTCTTGGTCCAGTTCACTGATGGTTCCAGAGCCGTTGGCTTGTAGGCCATGGTGCATCTGGAAGCTGGAAAGCTGAGCAAGACACCTTCCTAGCTGTTGTCCCCACACCGCTGTTCCCACACACGCTCCTCCGCCCACACCGCTCTCTTGTTTCTTGTCTTTGTTTGTTTATGCTTTATTCTCTTCTGATTTTGTATTCTTTATTTACGGGGAGGGCAGTCTGCCCACAGGGCACACTTGGAGGTCAGAGGGCAGCTTGCAGGGGTCATTTTTCTATCATGTGGGTCCCTCAGGTCATCAGGCTGAGTGAATGGTAAGCACTTTTACCCGCTGAGCTGTCCGATAAGCCCTTGCTTCTGGCCTTTTAGTCAGGGTCCCACTATCAGTGCAGGTTAGTCTGGAGCTGTCCGTCCTCCTGCCTCAACATTCTGAGTTCTGGGCCACAGACTTCACTCCTCACACCAGTGCTCACCCTGTCCCTAATTAAGAGGCTGAAGCTGACCTAAATTCACAGGACACCACCCACCCCAGCCTCTGCTGCTCTTAGGAATAAAAGGAAGCTGGCACCTAGTCCACAGTTCTTTCTTTCTGTGAAAAAGAGTGTCGCTTGGCCCGCAATCCTGCAGCTGTGTTGGCCCACATGGAGGGCACAGGCCACCTGTGCTCCCTGCTCTGAATTCTAGTCGTTCCTCCTGCACAGGCCCCACTTGCTCAGGGCCTTGTTGCTGGGCAGCCAACACAGGTTCAGTGTCTTAAGGGCCAAGGCCGCAGCTCAGGGTCGGAGCTTGTCCAGTGTGTGTGGTACCCAGTTCTAGCCACACCACCATTGCTACAAGTTCTGCTGGACACTGCCATTTAGAACATTCTCGGGATGGGGTGAACTTGAGCACCCCTCTCATATGACGAATGCATTTTTCATTATGTGATAGCCATGAGCCCATGGGGGAAGGAAGGAGCCCAGGGCTGGAAGTGATAGCACAGAAATGATCTGCTGGGGGGCGTCTGGGCTCCTGAGGGTTAGTGTTGATTTTCATCGTGATGAGATCTAAAAATCACCTAAGAGACAAACTGAGCATGCCTGGGAGGGTGTGTGTAGACGGGGCTAATTAAGTGGAAGGGTCTGCTCTGAAGGTAGGCGGTACTATCTGAGGGCTGGGGTCCCAGACAAACAGAAAGAGAGAGACATAGAGACAGACAGACAGACAGAGACACAGACAGACAGACAGACAGAGAAACAGAGACAGACAGAGAGACAGAGACAGACATAGAGACAGAGACAGATAGACACAGAGAGAGACAGACAGATAGGCAGACAGACAGACAGACAGACAGACGAGCACTCATCTCTCTCCTTCCTGTGGCCAGCCACTTGTAGCTCCTGGACCACATCTTCAAACTGTGAGCCAAAGTACGCCTTTCTCTCCTTAAGGTAATTCTTCTCAGGTGTCTGGTCACAGCCCTGACTAAGGCAACCACTGC